CTCTCTCTCTCTCTCTCTCTCTCTCTCTCTCTCTCTCTCTCTCTCTCTCTCTCTCTCTCTCTCTCTCTCTCTCTCTCTCTCTCTCTCTTCTCTTGAAGAACAGCTGGGTCGGGTAGACCGGCTAGTTGCATGGCTGATTGAGTGGTCGGGAAGTCTTGACCTACAGGCACTGAGTTAAGCGGAGTTTCAACAAGTTTGCTGCAATGGACTGCAGGTGCTCGCGCAAGCCCAACATGCAGATTAGGCTAAGTGGGGTGAGGAATTGACTCCAGGGCTGCCTGCATGGGACGATGGACTGTCCAAACTGGCAGATTCGCAAGTTTGGTGGTGATCAGCTAGGAGTTATGGATGAGAGGGAGGGTAAAGCTCACCTGAGTGTCTGCCAAATGCATGGATCTTGAATTTTGCCCCCCTTACTGTGAGCTTGAGTGATTGTGATGTAAAAAGACGAAGGAGCACACACCGAGTTAAACTACCACTCCAGCGGCCCCGGCACTGTTGATTTTTCTTGTCTACAAGTATGGTACGGAAATCTAAAGCGCCCAGGCCTGGTACTACAGTTACTTGTCCTCAGGGTGGCATTTTAGATCTTAGACTTGGGGAAAGGCAACTTTTGTTTGCCAAAATAGGTCTGGATGGAGTGGTGGTTTAAGCGGAGTTCCGACAAATTTACTGCGACAGACTGCAGGTGCTCGTGCAAGCCCAACATGCGGAATAGGCTAAGTGGGGAGACAAATTGACTCCAGGGCTGCCTGTATGGGATGATGGACTGTCCAGACTAGCAGATTCGCGAGTTTGGCGGTGATCAGCTTGAGTTGTGGATGAGAGGGAGTGTAAGGCTCACCTATGTGTGTGCTGAATGCACGGAGTGGCTTAGGTCGGTGTGAGTCTCACAAATGTGACATAATGTTTCTGGACTCAAGTCAGTTTGATCCCACAGTACCCACCCAATGATCGAACCCCCATCATTTACGAGCCTGCCACAGTTGCCGTACAATGATCGTCAAAAATGTGCATGCAAATGGGATGCATGGGGAGCCATGGTGCAAACCAGTAGCCCATATGTCTTCCCAGACTTTTTGTTCTGCTCATATGTGTGGTGGGTTCCTCTTTGTCACAACTGTCTTCTCCTTTCCCCGTGTTATTGCTATACAATGAGCTGACGGTCAGTCCTTGCGCCGCCATAACTGCTGTTTGGTTGCGTACCTTGTGTGCGGTTGTCGATGGGGGATCGCGACCAACAACAGGGATTTGCCTACTCAAAGAAAAACAAGCGCGTCTATGCCCTTTCGCACTGGATTTTGAGTTCTGTAAAACAGGTATACAAGTTCTCACTCCAGATTACACCCCTGCCCCTTTCTGGTGGGGAAATCGTAAACAAGGATGGTGCAATGACTTGCTGATTTTGACTGCCGAGATTGACTGCGAGGCTGTATACTAACCGGTAGGGTTAGATTCATAATTTTGTTTGACTGAGGGCTAACCGAGAGACCTACCTGTGAGGAAATTCGTGAGGGACATATCTGCACTTTGGGAAAATACAGCCCTAACACTAACTGAATTTCCTACTACTACCGTAGCTGCGAACAGCAGGCCCGGGCTACCCCTAGGACAGACAGGCCCTAAGTGGCCTATGCTGCTAGACGGTCCTATAGCCTATAGCCGGGTCCGGTAGAGGCCGAAAGGCCGAAACAGAACGGTACCGGTCGGTCAGTCAGTTCGGTCTAGGTCTAGTGTAGTCTATAGATAGGTTAGGCCCATCGGTTCAGGACTTTTGGCAGTTCATTGCTCGCGAAGCAGCATTGGAGAAGCCAAGCAAGCTGATGGCGGTGAGGGTCTGCAGGCGGCATCCTGAGTCCTCGCTGTTGACAGCAGCCATAGCCGGCCCAGTCTGAGTCTGCCATAGCTGGGGCATCCTCAGCGCATCTACCCTTGGGGTATCTGCGTCTGGCCGGGCTACATCGAGGCTCTACACTGTGTACTAGAGGGCGGTGGCAGCCATAGCTGCCTGTTCCTTCGTCAGAGTTGTCCATCGGCACTGAAGACTTCATCGCAGAACCTGTTCTTCATCAGGGTGGTTGGCGCTGGCCTCTGGGAGGCCATTCTGATGTGGCGCTACTAACTGGGTGTAGGATAGAAAGTGGGGTATGAGTTCTGAGAGTGGCGAGATACTGGAACAAACTCTGTTACGATAATTGTTTGAGTTGGCTCATCATCAGTGCAATTTCAATTGTTATCCTCGCAGGTTCTACTTGTGATTGGTTGTTGGGAGTTCGTCAGAGAGAGAGAAACACTGTGTGTCTTCTCCCCATCTGTGCATAGCTGTATTCCGCTGCCTACCCTGATCTGTGTGCAGTGTGGACTCTGTCTCCTCTCCCCCTTCTCTTATGCATGTATGGGCGTGTATGAGATTGTCTGTGTGTGAGTGGCGGTAAAAATCGTCAGACAACAAGTTCATAACAATGGTGCTGTTACCGTCGTCGCTAAAGCCTGTCCATTTTCATTACCAAGCTGTTACGAAGGGTGTTGTGAGCCTTGCTTGCAAGGCAGGGTGGTCAATGCCCCTGCCAGGCGTGAGCAAGGCACAGTCCACCCCCAGTTCCTGATGGGACTTCCCTTTTAGCACGCTTTAGGCCTGCACAGCACCCTCAAAGAGGTAGAGCTGGATCTTCATGAGCAAGCTCAGAGTGGAAAGCAATCCACATTTAGTGGCCTCAATGTGAGGGCAGCCGCACTTGCACTAGCATTTACCAAGTGACCCAAGCCGCTCCTCCACCGAATCAGCCAACCCTAAATGGTGGTGGTGATGGGGGTGCTGGACCACGAGGTGGAAATGGTGGGCTGCTCGGTGAGGTGGAGGTGGAGGACCAGCTCAACCCGGGCCTGTCGCACCCCCTCAAGCACATTATCTTTCGCTTGCTTCGTACAGCTTTATCCCTGGCACCTGTCTCCGATGGGCTTGGATTAACACTTCTTTGGCTTGGGGTTATCCTCCGGCTAGCGATATAACTATGTTGATTGGCCTACGTTCGCACAGGACTTTTTCGAAGGATCTGATTATATAGATCCCGAAGGTGCATACTGATGATTAAAAGAAGCCATTTGCAAACGCCCCTGAACACTTTTTACCGAT